CCGGACGTGGTAGCGCGCCCCTGTAATTCCGGCTACTCGGAAGGCTGAGGCGGAAGGATCACCGGAGCCCAGCAGGTCGAGGCTGCGGTGGCCGGGAGCGGCCACTGCACTCCAGTCTGGGTGACAGAGTGAGACTCCAACTGAAAAAACAAAAAACAAAAAACAGGTAGTGCTTAGTGGTAGTTAGTCATTATCCTGAGTGTTTAAAGGGTGTTAAGCCATTTGAGGCCTGCATTAATTCTCTAATGCTGGCACTTTTATGATTCCCATTATATGGATGATTAAATAGTGGCATAGTGGCATTATATGGATGATTAAATAGTAACTGGCCAAGGTCACACAGCTGGTGAATGTTATGGAGCCAGGGTTTGGCCCAGTGCTGTTGGCCTCTGGCACCTGCTCTCCTCACCTCTGCACTTCTTCATGGATGAGGTAAACATTTTAAAGTGTGTAGTCCCAATGATGGTTTGTTTTCTCATAGGAGTGACTGGGTGATGTCCTACAAGGTCTTGGTGAGCAATGACAGCCATACATGGGTCACTGTTAAGAACATATCTGGAGACATGATGAGTCTCTTCTTCCCTCTAACCCTGCCTTTGGTGCCTGGCTGTGTAGGGTTTTGCAAAGAGGAGCGTATGACCAGTCCCTTGGAGGTCTGTTGATTCTGTGGATTCTGTGTCAGCTTTAACCAACCATGAGAGTCAAGTGGACATTGACCCCGTTCCCATGCCCTGAAGCTCAGCAGCAAATGGCCCACATTTAGTACTAATGTAAAACTCAGCCTTTATGTACTCCAATAAAATGCTACTGGGATGCAGCCTCCTACATAATTGCAAGTGAGCTCTGGAGGATATGTACATAGGGCACACTAGGGCCCCTTGCAGCTATTTGTAGTTTCCTATTTCCTTTCTTGACTTTGATCTTTTAACTTCATGATTAGCTTCAGTGTAGTCAGTTCTGATCTTGTCACTCTCTTCCTCAGATTCTCAAGTGCATATTCTTAGCATGGTATCCAATGTCTTACACACTCTAACAGTTAGCCTCTCTTTTCAAAGTTCTTTCTCATTCTTACCCTGCTCACAGTCCTGTGTTCTGGCTGAAGCAACCCAGCTGCTCTTCTGCCTTTGAATTCTATCTTTGGACTTCGACAACCGTTGCTATTCCTTCTCTCTAGAAACTTTCTCATCCCTACAGATCCAAGTAGATTTCCTTCAATGCCAGCTCAAACAGCACCTTTTTCTCAAAGCTTCACCTGGTCCTCTCCTTTTCCTGAAATCCTGAAACTCTCTGGCTATCCGTTTGCCATGACACTGATATATCTTTTCTACAATATATAATTACCACCCTCCCAGCACCTACTAGGTGGAGGCTTCCTGAGGGCAGGATCCAGGCCTGATTTATTTCTCTTTTCTCTTCAGCGCCCAGCACACATGAAGTTTTTCCCAATAAGATCTTGATGAATGAATGAATGGATGATCTATTCTTTTAAACCTCGATAAACAAGCTCTAAAAGATTTTCCTTTTCCCCCCTTGGGCATAAATAGATATTTGAAGGAAACAGTGAAAAGGAGAGCCCTGTTCTCAATGAGCTGCCTGTTCCCATGGTGGCCCACTACATTCGCATAAACCTGCAGCCCTGGTTTAATAACAGCAGCATCTGTATGAGAATGGAGATCCTAGGCTGCCCATTGCCAGGTGAGTTGCCCTCCTGTACTTCCTGCAGGGTAGGAGTGCCAGTGGAAAACAGATGCCTAGACAAGGCAAATAAAATAAACCAAGTGCCAGGCTCAGTGGCTCAGCCTGTAATCCCAGCACTTTGGGAGGCTGAGGTGAGTGGATCACCTGAGCCCGCGGGTTCGAGACCTGCCTGAGCAACTTGGTGAGACCTCATCTCTACAATAAATCAAAAAATTAGCCGGGCGTGGTAAGTGCACCCCTGTAGTTCCAGCTAATTGGAAGGCTGAGGCAGAAGGATCACTGGAGCCCAGCAGGTCAAGGCTGTGGTGGCCGGGAGCGGCCACTGCACTCCAGTCTGGGTGACAGAGTGAGACTCCAACTCAAAAAATAAAAAAATAAACCAAGCAATCATTTTCTCATGTGAAAAAAAAATGCCGATTGTAGAATATTTTGAAAATATAGGTGAGCCCCCCAAAAAGCAAATAAAAATTTCTCATAATCCCACTCAGAAGCACAGTGGACAGCTGGGGTATTGAAGTCCCTTGCCAAGTGTGCTTTTGCCTACTGTGATTTTAAGATGATGTAGTATCCTCAGAAGTGAGCAGAACACTATATAAGAATTTGGGGGATCACATTTCTTTGTCATTGACAGATCCCACTACACTGGGTAGTGATGGAAGAGATAGGAGGTGGTAGAAATTCATTTAAAACTCAACCATTGACATAGACGTTTTATGTTTAAATAGTATCACTGGATGCCTCTGTCTTGGGGTAAACAATTGCTTGATTAGGTTGTATTCTGCCCACCTTGATTTTACATGATGATATTTGGGTGTAAAAAAAGGGGGCTTGGATCCATATATGCCACCTGGTTCTTGGCAGTGTCTGCTCTTTTCAGACTGACCTGCTCTGGCTTGTGGCTGCTCTGTCTGGCCTTTCAGGGATTACAAGCTTGTGTCATACAAAGCCTGTAGGCAACAGCCTCTTTCCCCTAGCCAGGCATCTCCAGGGAAGGTAGCCAGCCCTGAGAACATCCCTGTAGACCTCATGGGGGCCTGTGGGAACTCTTGTGTTCCTGTCCACCCACAGTCAGGCCTTGGGAGATGGCTTATCCCCCCCACCCCACCCCTATCCTGCCCACTCTTGCCCAGTGAGAGGTACAAGTCTGGCTACCTGTGGAACTACCAGGTCCTGTCAGGGAGCAGGGTGCTAGAGCTGATACTATTTCTATAGTTGTCCTTGCCCCCAGTTTTGTTTGTTTGTGTTTTAAAAGCATATTTAAGGTGATTGTATTGTTTTTCTCTCAGTTCCTTAGTATTTGTGATCTTGCTTTGCCAACCCAATCTCATACTATCTATGATCTTGCATTTGCTAACCACAGACTCTTAAAACACAAACCCCATACTGGTGAGAAAAACAGATCTATCTACCTACCTGCTTCTCCTCACACCAGACAGATTTTTTTGTTTCTGTTTCTTTGTACTTACTAAATTGCAAAAATATTTTTCATGTCATTAAAGCCATTAGAGATTACTTGTCTCATGGAAGCTTTCTACCCTGGTCCCCAGACAAAATCCCATGTTTTTAATCTGCCTCATGTAGTTGAAAGTTCAGTTGTTTCCAGGAACTAGATTCTATAAACAAGTACACATTCTTGTTTCTCTGTCATTGTTTTGTGTCTGTGTGTCTATGATTATTTCCTGAAATTAGATTAGGACAAGTAGCGTTGCTGGTACAAAGAATGTGCATGGTTTCAAGATAGATGTAGAAAAGTGTTTCCACATTCTCAGCCCTGCCTGATTTGGGATTTGGGACTCTTCCGTGACTGGTTAGCACTGGAATTGCAGCCACTGGTTCAGCCCCTGCATCCTGGGCCTGCTGGGTTTGAACCCCAGCACAGGATGTCTGTGGGCACAGATGTCTTCAGTCCCGCTTTATGCCAGACAAAGAGCCTTGCTCTCCCATTATGCTCAGCACAGATTTGGTCTGCTTGCTTTGAAAAGCAGAGCCTTGGTTTCTTTCTGCAGGTAGGAATTCATCTGTTGTTGGTTAAGGGCAAAGGGCAGCCTGTGAGAGTCTCATGAAATAAATATTTCCCTGGGAAGTTATTTTTGGTGTGCATGAGTTTGAAAAGAGATCTTGGAGGTCCTTTAAACACTCACGGAGACAGAGTTACATTGTGAAATTCGATTTCAAGTATGGACTCAGGATGCTTCTATTTTCCAATCCCTAAATATTGAGGGCCATTTTTCTTCTAGAAGGTACTTAGCAGTCTGCTCAGAGTTGAGTGGCTGTTCATGCATGCCACCTGGTGGGAGTTGTATCTAAGATCAGGGTGGCACAGGGGCCCAAAATGAGCCTTGTTCATTGCCCTGGTGCTAGGGAGAGTCCTTTGTAAGAGCTAATGAGGTCAAAGCCAGGGATGACCCAATAGACTCGGCTGTCCTAACCCAAGATGACCCTGAGTTCTAAGTGCAGCTTCCCTGAATCTGTGCTTCCTGGACCTCTTCTTTATGAAAAATTCACTTACCTTTGTTTCTGTATCTCTTTGTTGTGTTCCTTCCATTCCTTGCTATCTTCCTGTGACTCACTGGTGGGGGTGGAGGACGGTGCTGGTGCTTTTTAAGACTTCATGAATAATGTTTCCAGAAATTTTTGAGCTAGAAAGTGAATTACCATATACCATGTTCTATTAACAGGATTTTTAAAGCTCAAAAGTAAAAGCAAGAAAAGTAAAAGAAAGTTGTTGCTGTATGGGTACAGTTTCAGTTTTGCAGGATGGAAAAGTTCTGCAGATAGGTGGTGGTGATGGTTGCACAACAGTGCAAATGTACTTAATGCTATTGAGCTACACACTTAAAGATGATTGAGCAGAAAACCAAGCACTGCATGGTCTCATTTACACGTGGCAGGTAACTGACCACAAAGATGGAAATGATAGACAGTGGGGATACCAATAAGGGTTAGGGTTTAGAAATTACCTATGGAGTACAATATTCTGGAGAATAGTTCATCTGAGACCCAGCCCCCACCGCCACACAATATGTCCATGTAACAAACATGCACGCGTGCCCCCTGATTCTAAATTTTTTTCTTAAATGGTCAAGATGGTAAGTTTTATGATTATTTTAACACAATTAAAAATAAAAATAATTTTATCACTATTTGTAAAAAAAGAAAAAGTAAAAGAAAGTCTTCTTCCTCGTGTTTGAAAGGACTTGCTATTTTGGACTAAATATCTATGCTTATCAGAACCTGGGGAGAGCTTCTGAAGATAGAGCTTTAATAATGAAATATTCAGCCGGGCTCGGTGGCTCAGCCTGTAATCCCGCACCTTTGGGAGGCTGAGGTGAGTGGATTGCCTGAGCTGGCGGGTTCGAGACCCGCCTGGGCAGCGAGACCTTATCTCTACAATAAATCAAAAAATCAGCTGGGCATGGTAGCGCGCGCCTGTTATTCCGGCTACTCGGAAGGCTGAGGCGGAAGGATCGCCGGAGCCCAGCAGGTCGAGGCTGCAGTGGCCGGGAGTGGCCACTGCACTCCAGTCTGGGCGACAGAGTGAAACTCCAACTCAAAAAAAAAAAAAAAATGAAATATTCAGGTAAAGACCTATATGCTAACTGACTTCAAGATCATGGCCTTGGTGGTTTTCAGGGACTTTGCTGTTGCAAACAACACTGTAATGCCTGCTGCCTGTGTTCTAAAAGGGAACCAGTGAGCTTTGTACATGAATGCCTCACTGGGCAACAGGATTGGAGTCCAGCTCCCTGGGAGGTGACCTTCAAGGTAGAGTGATGGTGGTACTTCAGCCCCTGGTGCTGCTCAGCAGTTTCTGTTATGAATGTGTGACCTTGGCCTCTCTGGGGGAAGTTGTCACTCCTCCCACCTCATCTTCCTGCACGGTATCCAGGGTTCTTGGATTTGACCCAAAGACCCTTGTGGTGAGCCGTCTGGAGGTCTGTGGACAGAAAGACTGTGTTCTCCTTTGGCACAGAGGAGCCGTCAAAGGGCAATGCCCAAGAATCACTCCTTTGGGTTGGCCAGGATCAGCTGAAATGCAGAGTCTCCTTCCTCTCTCATACATGCACTCTCCCAGTTCATGTTTATTAGTTCATAATTGTTGAAAAGCTATTTTAATTGTCAGTCCACCATCTGTCACTCTGAACTATGATAGCATTTCAGCCAGCTAACCTCCTCTCATCAAGATGTATACATTGGGGAAAGGGTGGGCTGTTTGCTCTGTTGAATCATCACAGGTACAAAGACTTTGTACGTACATCTATTTGCTTTGCTTCCTTTCACTGCCCTTTACCAAGTTGGGCCACTAGTTTGAATGATCTCTTGTGCCAAGGAATTGATCATCCCTTTGACAGCTCCTCTGTGCTGAAGGAGAACACAAGTCTTCCTGCCCACAGACCCCCGGACTGCTCACCATGAGGGTCCCTGGGTCAAATCCAAGGTCTGGGTTCTTGAAAAGACAGGAATTAGATGGGGAGCATGAAGTGGCCACTGTTCCTGTCATTCTAGGCCCCCTTTTGCTAATGGTGATGCTATGAGCATCTTTTTGATGAGCATAGAAGAGCTCCTTGGAGTTGCCGAGTACCAGTTGCAGCCCCTCTACTTGCCAGAGCCTTAAAAAGGAGAGGGATTCATGTCCCTTTTGGGAGAATCCTGGTGGACAGAAAGAGCTTGAACTTCAGCTTAGTTTAGATCTGGCTTCAAATTCCACTTCTCCTCAGCAACTGTGGTCTCAGGCAACTTGTGAAAATGCTCTATGCTTTGCTTTCCTCATCTATAGAATGGAGGTAATGCCATCATCATCTAGGAGTGTGCAAGGGTACAGCTAAGTCCTTCAACTTCTGGGGTCATACTTCCATCAAAATACCCAAATACAATAGCTCAAATTCTCATCACAGTCCTGCTTGTGAGATGGTAGGTGGATGCAAGAGAAGATTCCTCATTTCTTCTCATCCACATTAACACAGTCCCGGCTTTGTTTTCTGTTCTCTAGGTGTGAC